TTGTGGCACCCGAATCATCTGTTAGACATCCATTCAGATTTGCTATCGATGCACCTGAAAAAAAAAAGAACTCCACAACTCTGCACCTAAGAGAATAACTCTTTCCTCAAATCCCTCGCATGTTTATACCCCGGAATTCGACGCTAATGGAATTAGCAGGCTATAAAAGCAACCCCGCCAATTGAATCTTATTTAGCTAATATTTATTTGGAGAAGTTAATAACAGATTCTAGTACATTTACATGTTTGAGGCATAGATAGAAGCACAGGCTAGTGGATGTGGCGAACTTATAAAAAGCGTTACTTCAGTGCAAAAGCTACAGGGTTCAATTTTGTCAGCAAAAAAATCAATCTTTATCTTTATTTCACTTATTTCGGTGGTAAATTGGTACTGACACATGGCAAGGAACAACAGTTTGCTTTTAAGCAGTCGTTCGGAGAAATAACCACCGAAAATTTCGTAGCTTTTGGCATCTAATACTTCAGCCTGCCTCCGCCTCCTAGTGGCCGAGAACTGTGACGAAGTTTATTACTCGTTTAAAGTATAAAAATCTAATAAAACAAAATACTTCTGTCAAAAAAATACTAAAAAAGAAAACTTAGTATACAAATACCTAATCCTTCGCCGATGAAAAAATTCTTGATCACCTTAAACGAGCTGAACCACTTCATAATTAAGCAGATGCCAGTGGTCAATTTCTCCATAAATATAGGAAGTGAAATGTGACTTATAATCACAAAATATTCATTAGAAACAATCAGCAAGACTAACAAAACAGTAACGGTACCTGCTAGTCGGGCTTCATGGCAAGCATCATACATTTCGGGCTGAATTTCTGGGTTTTCATCTGCGATGGTTTCACCAACTGCCACAAACCGTTCGATAGCTGCCTCAACGGAAGAGCCTATCTGAAAATCACGGAACTTTTGATGCTGTTTTCAAAGGGCCAAAAAAATTCAAGAAGGCTTAGTTTCCAACGAAAAGCGGTTACAAACGAAGCAGAAGAGAAATCACTTGTTCAAGTAAAATGGCTAACACAAAACTGAAATTTCTAATTAAAAAATTTTAAGTAATAATTATTCAAATTCTGAACAACGAAGGACGTAAAATAAGGAAGCGACTTACCTTTAAAGCAGAACGAAGAGCTTTCTCGGAACGTTTTTTACCGCTTGACAAGTAACTCTCCTTGAAATTCACAAGTGTTGTTATCTGAAATTGACGAATACTGCCAACTTATTATTTTTTAAGGCACAAAAAAAAGAAGAAGACGAAGTTCAGCGCTCTCCATAAATGTTAAAAGAACACAGGAAAGACCAACGGCGTACTGGAAGGATCAGCTTTAATGGCTATGTGGAATTGCGTAGGATGAGAAAGGCTCGAAATAGAGAAGAATGGAGAAAAGTTACCAGCTGCATCAGTAACGAGAAGAAACGCAACGATGAAACAATAGTCAGTTAAAGCATGAAAGTAAGTAAGGTAATGACAAAACATAACTTATTTCAATTATGTCATAGTGTTTTTCTTTCAAAGAATCAGTCGGTCCGAATAATCAACAGTTTATCAACAGAAATGGCTAATCCTACGAAATTTGATAAGCTGTCATTGAAATTTGATAAGCTGC